AGCATGCCAGCCCCGCTGTGGCCAACGCAGGCAACAGACCCCCTTTCCAAACAGGGAAGCATTGCGCCGCATACCCCAACTGACAGCTCTGAGGAGAGCCACAATTGGGCACAAGGATGTGGTGGATGGATTTTGAACCATGCGTCCACAGGTGCATCGATGGCCTGTGAAGTGAAAGTACAAAGACCAGGTCTGACCTTCCTGGTGGCATCCACTGTTGCACCGTGCTCCAACAGCAGTGCTGCGGTGTTGGTGTGGCCCCCACTTGCAGCCCAGAAGAGGGGTGTGCGACCATCCTGAGGATCATAGATAGCATTGTCGACACCAGAGAGGGTTTGGCAGGGAAGCTTTCACTGTCAGTCAGTGCAGGGCAGCAGATTTGGAATGGTAGCATGCCAGCCCCGCTATGGCCAACACAGGCAACAGACCCCCTTTCCAAACAAGTAAGCATTGCGCAGCATACCCCAACTGACAGCTCTGAGGAGAGCCACAAATGGGCACAAGGATGTGGTGGATGGATTTTGAACCATGCGTCCACAGGTGCATCGATGGCCTGTGAAGTGAAAGTACAAAGACCAGGTCTGACCTTGCTGGTGGCATCCACTGTTGCACCGTGCTCCAAAAGCAGTGTTACTGTGCTGGTGTGGCCCCCACTTGCAGCCCAGAAGAGGGGTGTGCGACCATCCTGCGGATCATAGATAGCATTGTCCACACCAGAGAGGGTTTGGCAGGGAAGCTTTCACCGTCAGTCAGTGCAGGGAAGCAGACTTGGAATGGTAGCATGCCAGCCCCGCTGTGGCCAATGCAGGCAACAGACCCCCTTTCCAAACAGTGAAGCATTGCGCCGCATACCCTAACTGACAGCTCTGAGGATAGGCACAAGTGGGCACAAGGATGTGGCAGATGGATTTCGAATCATGCGTCCACAGGCGCATCGATGGCCTGTGAAGTGAAAGTACAAAGACTAGGTCTGACCTTCCTGATGGCGTCCACTGTTGCACCGTGCTCCAAAAGCAGTGTTGCGGTGCTGGTGTAGCCCCTACTTGCAGCCTGGAAGAGGGGTGTCTCAACTTCTGCGGACGCTCTGATACTCCACCAGAGGAAAGGTTAGCAAGGGCTTTCGCGCAGTCGGTCGGTCTTGGGGCGGCAGGAGTTAAGGATAGTAGCATGCCAGCCCTGCTGTGGCCAACGCAGGCAACCAACCCCCTTTCCAAACAGGGAAGCATTGCGCCGCATACCCCAACTGATAGCTCTGAGGAGAGCCACAAGTGGGCACAAGGATGTGGCAGATGGATTTCGAATTATGCGTCCACAGGCACATCGATGGCCCATGAAGTGAAAGTACAAAGACCAGGTCTGACCTTGCTGGTGGCATCCACTGTTGCACCGTGCTCCAAAAGCAGTGTTGCTGTGCTGGTGTGGCCCCCACTTGCAGCCCAGAAGAGGGGTGTGTTACCATCCTGTAGATCATAGAAAGCAGTGTCCACACCAGAGAGGGTTTGGCAGGGAAGCTTTCGCTGTCTGTCAGTGCGGGGCAGCAGACTTGGAATGGTAGCAGCCAACCCCGCTGTGGCCAGCACAGGCAACAGACCCCCTTTCCAAACAGGGAAGCATTGCGTCTCATACCCTAACTGACAGCTCTGAGGAGAGCCACAAATGGGCACAAGGATGTGGCAGATGGATTTCGAATCATGCATCCACAGGTGCATCGATGGCCCGTGAGGTGAAAGTACAAAGACCAGGTCTGACCTTGCTGGTGGCATCTACTGTTGCACCGTGCTCCAAAAGCAGTGTTGCTGTGCTGGTGTGGCCCCCACTTGCAGCCCAGAAGAGGGGTGTTTCACCACCCTGCGGATCAAAGAAAGCATTGTCCACACCAGATATGGTTTGGCAGGGAAGCTTTCGCTGTCAGTCAGTGCGGGGCAGCAGACTTGGAACGGTAGCATGCCAGCCCTGCTGTGGCCAACACAGGCAATAGACCCCCTTTCCAAACAGGGAAGCACTGTGCTGCAAACCCCAACTGACAGCTCTGAGGAGGACCACAAATGGGCACAAGAATGTGGCGGATGGATTTCGAATCATGCGTCCACAGGCACATCGATGGCCCATGAAGTGAAAGTACAAAGGCCAGGTCTGACCTTGCTGGTGGCATCCACTGTTGCACCGTGCTCCAAAAGCAGTGTTGCTGTGCTGGTGTGGCCCCCATTTGCAGCCCAGAAGAGGGGCGTTTCACCATCCTGCGGATCATAGAAAGCATTGTCCACACCAAATAGGGTTTGGCAGGGAAGCTTTCGCTGTCAGTCAGTGCTGGGCAGCAGACTTGGAATGGTAGCATGCCAGCCCCGCTGTGGCCAACACAGGCAACAGACCCCCTTTCCAAACAGGGAAGCTTTGCGCCGCATACCCCAACTGACAGCTCTGAGGAGAGCCACAAATGGGCACAAGGATGTGGCAGATGGATCTCGAAACATGTGTCCACAAGTGCATCGATGGCCTGTAAAGTGAAAGTACAAAGACCAAGTCTGACCTTCCTGGTGGCATCCACTGTTGCACCATGCTCCAAAAGCAGTGTTGCGGTGCTGGTGTGGCCCTTAATTGCAGCCTGGAAAAGGGGTGTGCGACCATCCTGCGGATCATAGAAAGCATTGTCCACACCAGAGAGGGTTTGGCAGGAAAGCTTTCGCTGTCAGTCAGTGCGGAGCAGCAGACTTGGATTGGTAGCATGCCAGCCCCGCTGTGGCCAACACAGGCAACAGACCCCCTTTCCAAACAGGGAAGCATTGCGCCGCATACCCCAACTGACAGCTCTGAGGAGAGCCACAAATGGGCACAAGGATGTGGCGGATGGATTTCGAATCATGCGTCCACAGGCGCATCGATAGCCCTTGAAGGGAAAGTACAAAGACCAGATCTGACCTTGCTGATGGCATCCACTGTTGCGCCATGCTCCAAAAGCAGTGTTGCTGTGTTGGTGTGGCCGTTCAATGCAGCCCAGAAGAGGGGTGTGTGACCATTCTGCGGATCATAGAAAGCATTGTCCACACCAGATAGGGTTTGGCAGGGAAGCTTTCGCTGTCAGTCAGTGCGGGGCACCAGACTTGGAATGGTAGCATGCCAGCCCCGCTGTGGCCAACACAGGCAACAGACCCCCTTTCCAAACAGGGAAGCATTGCGCCGCATACCCCAACTGACAGCTCTGAGGAGGGCCACAAATGGGCACAAGGATGTGGCGGATGGATTTCGAATCATGCGTCCACATGCGCATCAGTGGCCCATGAAGTGAAAGTACAAAGACCAGGTCTGACCTTCCTGGTGGCATCCACTGTCGCACCGTGCTCCAAAAGTAGTGTTGCTGTGCTGGTGTGGTCCCCACTTGCAGCCTGGAAGAGGGGTGTCTCACCATTCTGCGGATCATAGAAAGCAATGTCCACACCAGATAGGGTTTGGCAGGGAAACTTTCGCTGTCAGTCAGTGCGGAGCACCAGACTTGGAATGGTAGCATGTCAGCCCCGCTGTGGCCAACACAGGCAACAGACCCCCTTTCCAAACAGGGAAGCATTGCCCCGCATACCCCAACTGACAGCTGTGAGGAGAGCCACAAAAGAGCACAAGGATGTGGCGGATGGATTTCGAATCATGTGTCCACAGGCGCATCGATGGCCCATGAAGGGAAAGTACAAAGACCAGGTCTGACCTTGCTGGTGGCATCCACTGTTGCACCGTGCTCCAAAAGCAGTGTTGCTGTGCTGGTGTGGCCCCCACTTGCAGCCCAGAAGAGGGGTGTGTAACCATCCTGTAGATCATAGCAAGCATTGTCCACACCAGAGAGGGTTTGGCAGGGAAGCTTTCGGTGTCACTAAGCGCAGTGTGCTAGAATTGGAATGGCAGTCCGCTTGGCCCACACAGGCTGGCATATCCAATGGAGCTTTCTATGAAATTGGCAAGAACAGCACTTCAAATTGCGTACCATAAGTGAAAGTTCAGAGGGGAGCCCCAAATTATCACAAATGTCTTATGTATGGATTTCGAACTGTACAATCAGAAGGACTGTGAAACGCATTCTTGTGAAAATGTACAATGGCCAGTTGCTTCGTTGTTACCAGGTTAGACATTTGACTGCACATTCACTTGCATGTTTGCTGTCCGGTGAAGCAAGTAATTGGCTTGGAGGTGTCATCTGCCACTGACAAATTGCCACACATATTTGTTGTTGCATCGAGTCCAACTGCCATCATGGACACCATTGATAATTTCAAAACACACTTGCCATCTTAGCAAAGTCATGTTCATTGGGAACAGCTTTGCAGAGCTGGGGCTATGGCATTGCACAGAAATACAGATGTGTTCATGTCATTAGCCCAGCTAGTGATGGTAGAGACACATCGCTGTTATTTGCTCTATGGCCATTTTATGCAGCACCATCTGCCTGTTGCAAGCTTAATACCTGAACGATATTTGCTGTTATATATTGCCACGCCCAGCTGGTCAGCACAGACACAAGACATCATCGTCCAAGGGCTGGGTTGTGAACTTCGTGCACAAGTAGTTCCACCTCGGCCTGACATTTATAGCACTCTTTTCTATCTGCCAATCAATGCAAAGCCTGGTGAGGTCACTGGAATTCACAGAGGATGTCTTTTCCTTTGCCTTGGTTGTATTGTTGGCAGCATCCTATGCGTGGCACAGACCTAGGCATCAGGCATGTGGCTTGCCACCATGCTTCTCCAGCAGACACCAACCTCTCAGGACACAACTAGATATTGTTGTTCCCCTGTTCCGCTTCAACATCGACTGTGGTGGCTCCCAGTGGCATGAGTCACAAGCAAGATCGCTGAGGCAGCAAGTCAAGAGGCAGGAATGCCATTGTGTGTATTACGTGCAATGTGGAGTATTCTGTGCCACAGAATCTGTGGCCAAACAGTTAGACATCAGCAAGATATATGCTGCCCTGGTGCCACCACTTTTGCCAGCATCATTGCCAGGACACCCCCAAGGCCCACCTTGTCCCCAAACTCCACATCCACTTCTCTCAAGTGAAAGGCAGCCATCTTGTCCATGCCAAGTTCAGCTGCCCAGTGGAGGGGAGTGCTCTGTAGTGCATACACAGCATTCTCAGCAACCACAACAATCCCAATTATTTCTGATGGTCAATTTGAAGTAATGTGTCTTACAAGGACTGTCCAAAGCAAATCTGACGGTGGACAAATTGTTGGACAAGAATTTGTAACCTACAGATATGACGTTGTCCCCGCACAACACGCCAGATCCATCTTGTTCCAGTGATACTTCAAGCTCTTCAAAATGCTGTTTGCAGCCCTTGGGCACTTTGCATCCTCTTGGAAGACCCAGTACCTCAAGGCACCCCAGGCTGTTTGCAAACTGAGGGAATGCCATGCCATCAATCCCCTGAAGTCTCAATATCCTCAACTTTAGGCAACAGGAGCCAAGGGCACTGGGAAGGTCTGCCAACTGCCTGCACTGCTGCAAATCCAACTCCTCCAACTCAGCAAGGTTTGTTGTGCTGTCCGGCAACCCCATCAGACTGCAACAATTGTGCAAAATCAGCACTCGTAGCTGCAACAATTGACCAAGACTGCTTGGCAGGCATGTGAGCTGCCAGCAACCACCCAAATTCAGGTTAGCCAAACATGTCAAATCTCCAAAATTTCGGGGCAGCTGCTTCAAACCCACACAACCACTCAAGTTCAGCATGGTCAACCTGTTCCATTTTTTCAACTCAGGAAGGTAGAAATGGGCGATTCCACATTCTGGCATCAGCAGCTTGGACAACTTGGTCAGGTTTCCCATAGACTCGGGAATTTCATAGATGCCCCTGCAACCCCTCATGGACAGCACCCTTAGCTCAACCATTGCGCCCACTTCGCTAGAAAGACATGTCAGCCCATTACAATCATCCACTCTGAGCAGCTGCAGCAATCGAAGACATGACAGTTGTGATGGCAGCTCAGTGATGCCTGAGGACGCCAGGTCAATTGCCAGCAGTTGGGTAGTCAGGATGGAAGGAGGCAACCCGGGCACCCCTGCATCTCGCAGCACAAGACCCTGTAGTTTTGGCATATCCAGATCGCACAAAACCCTCTGTTGGTCCGTCTTGATCTTTTGACTAGCAGAAAATCTGTTTGCCATCAATGCTGTGCCCTTGTCAATGGTGTCTCTCAACTGCGATGACACCAACCTCTCTCGTTGCAGCATTGGAAGAATGGTAAAGAGCCTGAGAGCACCTTCACGGACCACATCGTGCAAGTAGTAGCGCAACCCCCACAATTCACCATATCGATTGCGGGAGGGCTGAAGTTCTGGCACCTCATAGGTATCATTTCCTTCCATTTTGATCAGTGCCTTTTCCTCCAAGTCCCTCAGCACCTGAAGTGCTGTTTGTTCATCAACACACAAACCAATGCACGTCTCCAATTCTGCCACGTCCGTGGCTCGAGCACGATGATCTTCAGGCAACATTGCCAAATCCAACAATACCCCCTGATGGATTGAATCCACGTTGCTGAAGCTCAGCTGAAAGACATGATCACACTCTTCTTGACCATTGAGCTTGCTGTCAAATTCTGCACAGCATTGCGCCACTGTCCTCGCTCTTTAAAACCTCTGGCCAATTTTCCCATAATCTCCAATGAGAGGGGAAGCCCTGCGCATGTTTTGATGATCTCTTGTACATGCTTCTCTTGCCATTTTTTCGGCATGTCACTATCAAAGGCAAGCTTGCAAAACAATTGATGCGACTGTGCATCATCCAAAGGTGCCACATCATGGCACTCTGCTCCCACAATATGTGCAACCTTGTTATTTCGCGAAGTTATGAGCACCCGGCTATATGGCGATGCAACGTCAAGCTGGACCATGTCAGCTTCATCCCAGGTGTCATCCAAAACAAGACAAAAAGATTTGTCTTGCAATGCAGCTTCCAACCGCCGCTTTCCGTCCTCTGCATTGACAAAATCCACTTTACCTCCTAAAAGGGCCTCCCAAATTCGCTTTTGACAGTCCACGATGTCAGGGTTCTGCGAAACTACCACAAACGCCAAGCCAAGACATTTGGTTTGTTCATTTTTCTGGAATCTGCTTCGCACATCTGGATCATTTACCACACACACTGCTAGGGTGGTCTTGCCCACTCCACCCATGCCCACCAACGCAACATATTTGGTAGTATCGCTGAGAATTAACTTTTTTATCACTGCTGCCTGGGCCTCAGGACCGATGGCTTTGGGGTTAACAGGAATGCAAGATGATGCACAACTTGGATTTCCCTCCTCTCGCATTGCTGACACAGCTGACCACAACACAGTACTGTCACAATCAGTGTGTCAATCAAATAATTGCACAATATTGTGCAACCAAACTAATCATTGACCACTAATCATCTGTTCCTAGCTGCAACACTCTTGATGCACCTTGCAGGCCAGGTGTAAGCTGCCACCACAGTTGCATGATGGCCAGTAGTATTGATATTCTGAACTGAATACAGTAACAAGACATGTTTGCGCTATGCACTAGCATGCTTGCTGTTTGGCAACAGATTTTGCAGAGCAAGGAAAAGAAGAAAAACATGCTTTAAAGGAATTGCCACAATAATCGTTGGTGATGAGGCCAGAAACGACTCCAGCAGCGTCGCCAAGACACACATCCTTGATGGTGGGAAACAAAAGCAGTTATTGCAACATAAATGGTGTTGGTTTGGACACTTCTAACGTTGAGATGCCCTGGTTGGTTACCTTGATAGGGCATATCTCCCAGATTCTATATTTGTGCATCAAGTATTGTGCCGATATGCACCAGCAGCTGTGACTAACATCAGCAACATGGTCAGCACAATTTGCCCACTTGGATCTTTAAGAGAGACTGCAAGTAACCTTGCTGCAAATTCAAGCAGGTTTTATGGCCCTCAAGAAGCATGCCACATGAGAAGTGGTCAAGGCATTCAGAACACAATCTATTGCACATTCAAAGCAAGTCAAAAGAAATCAGCAAGGCCAGATCAGAACTGCTGCAGTTTAAACACAATGGGGTTGTTTATGTCTGTCAAAAAGCACACTAACGCTCTTTTGCAGATGATGATTCGATTTTGTGTAAAGCTCTGAAATGCAACAAGACCTTGTTGTTTCCCAATACCTGCTGTTTTCACTTGCTTTGGCATGTCCTGCACCAACTCATGCATGCCATGGACCTCGTGGAATGCCAGGCGTGACTCGCACTGTGAGACCAGTTCTGCAACGGCTGCTGGGCCCGGCTTTCCCTTGAATATTCCATGCACCATCATCCGCACATTTGACTGAAACTCATAGCCCTCAAGCTGTCGAGCGCCCTCTTCGATCACCTCCATCAGCTCTGAGAGCTCCTCAAGGCGGGCCTCCGGCTGCCGCTCCAAACCTCCCTGCAACGTTTCCATGGTTCGTCGAGCGACACGTCCAAGCCCAGACTGTGCAGGGCGCAGGCCATCAAAGTCAGCCTGGATTCTGCCTGCCACTTCCAGGGCGAAGCCCAGCACTGAAAAAGCTGGCCCCACGACAGGCAATTTGCCCAATACCTCCCCTGCGAACGCTGTTGCAGTGTCCATCATGCGCACAGCAGACTGGGCCACTTGCAAATGGCCCATGCGCAGAGGCCCGCTCGCCTGGTCGTGTTCCTGCAAGGCGCCAAGCCGATTCTGCCGTTCGGGGCCCTGGCCCCTCAGCAGTTGAATCCACGGGCAAACACGCCACCGAAGAGCGGCCACCCACTGAGCCGCATGCTCAGGCGAGTCTGCCCTGAAAACCCGCTTTTCCCCATCCAACTGTACCGTCCAAGTGCGCTCCCCTTCCGTGTAGACGACCTGCGTTCGGCCTCTCACCAGCTCGATGCGGCCCCCCTTTCCAACCCAGGCCTTGGTGTCCCGGGGGAGGTCGGCTCCGCCCCTGGCGCGGATCCATCTCAAATCCATTCGAGCCAGCAGGTCGACATTGTACCACATGCCAATCCGCGACCTCTTTTCCACGCGACCCGCGTCGGGCGACATCCATTTTTGCCGTAAGCCATCCGTCAGTCGCCCCTCAGCTTCGCCGCGTTCCCCACCGCCGGGTGGGGTCTCGGCCATGGCCGGCCGCTCTGGCGACGACTCACAGAATTGCGGCTTCACAGAAGGAGGGCACCGCGCAAGACGGCGGTCAAAACCTGCCACCGCCAACCACTATGTTTCGATCAGATCCAAGTGTCCTTCTTGAAACTCAGTGGCCAAAGCCGGGCTTGCGCAGCTGTGCAGTTACTCAGTGAGAGCAGCGCGACAATAGCGAAGAAACCGTGTTTGCACATCGCTCGAGAGCACAAGCATGGAAGCGCTGAAAGAAGTCTGCAACTGGTGGTCAACAGTTCTGGACCCCAAGGACAAAAATAGACATAAGGTCGGACGCTGGCTAACCGACAGCGGCTTGGAGCAAGCCAGGAGGGCACCCATTTTCCAAGGACGGCGCCATCGCCGCGCGGCCCGGACCATAACGAGAGAGCCGCCAATTCACGGATGCGCCCAACAACCACTGTGGGACTCTGACCTACCAACCCCGGCAAGGGAACCTCTGCGTCAGCAGCATCCGGAATACTCCACCAGGTCAGCCCAGACATCCCACACAGCGGACACCCCACCCCATCCATTGCCTCTCGAGCCATGCGATCGACAGCCACACCCCTCGCCGCTTTGGCACGCCCACAACCGCCAATCTCGACGTGCAAAACACCAATCCAAGATCCGGCGCCCCTCCGCTTACCCACCTTCCACCAGTCGGATCCGCTGAACAAAAGGCGCAAAGGGCGCAGAGCCCGTCTGGCAGACGCGTCGCAAGTTTCTGAATCCCGTTGCGTTTGCCGCGCCCGGGCCCTGCTGCCCTTGCGCCACGCCCACCCGGGGCCGCGGGCCCTCGTGTGGGAAGGCAGTGTCGCTTCGAGACGAAGCGCATGACGCATGCCGGCGGCCTGCCTTCTTTTGGCGCTGACACCTGGCCGAAATTAGGACAAGGCAGTGCTGGAGTCCCAAAATCCGGTTGATAGCCCGTAGTAAAGCGACATAGCGATGTCCTTCACCAGTGTCTCAGTTCCTTGTGGAGCAGATCTTATGTGACCTTCCAATGGCTGGGCAGCGCAAATACTTCTGGAGAGGTCCAAGGCCCCTTCAAGTCCCTTAACTACAGCTGTACTTCCGGAAAGATCTCGAGACTCCCGAATGCAAAAGGTCATTCTTTCAATCGTCGGCAAGGAAGGGCAGGGGTGGGGTCGCAGACCGGTCACAGCACCGCATACCCCCCTTGCGCGTGCAGCCCCGGGTCGGGTACCGTGGTACGACGACATGGGGCGTGTCCCGCCCTCGCCAGCGAACTGATCAACACCTCAGGATGGACAACTGAAAAGAGATCTCGGTCCAGGATGATTGCAACCTTCCGGGCTCTGCAGCCGTTCTTGGGTTTCCGCGTTGCAGCGTCAGGGGCACTGGGGGAGGGCCTCTTGGATTGCTAGCTGTGGCGAGCTGGTGCCATCTGCAAGTTGTTTTTGTTTTCCGCATAAGGTGCGCCGTCAGATTGCGGCTGCCGCGGCGCAGTGTGTGAAACACGTGTCTCCAGATGGGGTGGATGTGGCAAGGGTTGGTCCACTGTGCCGATCCCAAGTCCTGTGCACTGAGACTCGGTGTCTCTGGCACTGCAACGTGTGCTTTGAAGCGGGTGCAGAGCCATGTAAGAGGTTGGCGATGCCCGGCGCGTCAGAGCAGACCATGTCCAACAATGGCGCTTGCAGCACTTCTCGTGTCACGCTTTTTCTCACAGGATGGAAGACAGTCTTGTCAAGCCACTTTGGCAGACAAGATTCCAGGAATGTTTTTAGCATCGCAGACACAGTAGGCCCAGTAATCTTGGCCGTTGTCACCCGCAGGGCCCAAGGTTTTTGTTGGTCGTGGCTGTTCTCAAACGTGCACTTCCTGAACACTAAAACAAGCAGTGGGCATACTGTTCTTGTATGGTTGGATGGCGATACGGCCCTCGGTGGGTGACATGCAATGAATGGAATTTCATCATTATCATCATCATCTTCATCAAGCACGCAGTTCCACGGAATCCTTCACCTGTGTTTTTTAGCCGTATGCCCTCACTTCTGTTGCGCTGCAATATTTTTGCACTGGACATTGCTAGAAGATTAAGCTGTGAGCATGTTCGTGTGACCCACCAGCAGGTGCTACCAGGGCTCTCAAGGTGCCAGGTGCAACCAGCAGGCCATGCCAAGTCTGGATGCCGAAAGCTGGAGGAAGTGCTTGGGTGAAGGCGCCACCATCAGCAGACAGCAGGATGGCTGCGTTGCTTTGAATTGCAATAGGCAGTGGGGGAGAGGCGGCTGCTTGCCAAGCTCTGCACTCGCTTTACAATCAGGGACTTTTACGGGATCGAGGATGCATGTCTGACAGAGAAGATCTGCATATGCCTGGCTGGGAT